AGAGAGACACCATGTGACTCTGTGCATAAAGAATATAATGTTTAATATCTCATAGGTAGAAGCTTTAATGAAACTGTACTGTTAAATAAATAAGTATGTAAGCGTGTTGTTGGAACCATCCTCTGAGTTATTGATCTGCTTCAGACAATCAAACAGTTTGATTCAAAGTTAGTATTTATATTTATTTCCCTTCAGTTTTTCACACAAAGCACCAATATAGCAATATAGAGAGAAGAGGTGCATTGTGGGTACTCATCTATACCTGTAGACTCATGCTGGACGTCTGTGGTCTCTGTTCCAGTTCACTCGGGTCTGGATCCCGGACCCGGAGGATGTCTGGAAGGCTGCAGAGATCGTCAGGGACTACAAGGAAGGAGAACCGGTTCTCCACCTCAAACTGGAGGATGAGACGGTATTTAATGTTCTTTATATTACTGACACACACTGTGATACCCACTGTGACACACAGCTCAGCAGTTATTTCACCTCCTCTGTGACCAGAGTGAATAAATATGTACTCAAACACAATTATAAACATAATATATATTATATTATATTAAACATTCTGTAATTCTGCCTCACAACAATCATCAGATTCACAGAACGACACACTCCAACAGTAAAGAGTTCCTTATCCACGGGGACCTGCAGTTCAGACCCCCTGTGGCATAAAGTCATTAATGCTATTGATAATATTGATTGTGTATTGATGATATTGATTGTGTATTGACGGTGTATTGTGTCCTGCTTGTCTCAGCCTCTGGAGTATCCTGTGGGTCCGAAGAGCAACCCCCTTCCTTTCCTGCGGAACCCCGACATCCTGGTTGGGGAGAATGACCTCACTGCCCTCAGTTACCTGCATGAACCTGCAGTCCTGCACAACCTCAGAGTCCGCTTCCTGGAGTCCAACCACATCTACACCTACTGCGGTCAGTATCTCTCTTCTCCTTCTTTCGTTAGTATTATTTGGTAAATCATTTCTAGTGTGTCGCTCCAGGTTGTCCGTTATCTCTCAGGAACGTCTCGAGGGAATTTTAACGTCCACCTGGACTCGAGGATGAACTGAAACACATTTTAATACACTTTAAGATATCTGAGTAGAATTTTCACTGTGACATCAGAACAACCTGATCAAACATGCTGTTGGCCATAACTCAAGAGTTGATGCTGTAATTATGAAAAGATGTCACTCAGGTGTTTAATGGGATACAGCGATGAAGTGACGACTAAAGGTCAAAGGTCGGCTTCACTGTGACATCTTATAGTCCTGGAATAACAATTTTTTTTCTGGTGACACTTTTGACTGAAAGGTCAAAGGTCATTGTGACCTCACAATAGGTTTCTGGCTATAATTTAGAAGAAATTTGACACAGTGAGTAATGGATACACAGTGCGGCTGTACTTCCTGCTTCATCCTGAACGTATTGGACTTACCGGTAAACTGACAGGCTGCACATTTACTAACACACTGATCACTTATGTGTGTAATGTATATTCACTGGAATCAAACATTTATCATCAGTATAGTCACTACTTCCATTGAAACAAAACATGCACTTTATAGCCTTTTATTAAATCCCTTCATTCCCCCATATGGCGCTAATTCCAGCTGATCACATTGGTATTGATTATTATTGACTGTCTGCAGTCTGGCCGGTTTTACACCCTGATCAGGATGAAAGTGTAACTTTTTATGACTCTGGTGAAGCTCATCTCAGTGTTAATAAAAAACTTTAAACATATATTTATATAATCTAATAATAATGTAGTTTATTATTGATATGATGTATGATGTGTGATGTATGATATGATGTGTGATGTGTGATATGATGTGTGATGTATGATCAGAATCAGAATCTTTATTTGTCATTGTCACAAGTACAACGAAATTGCTGTGATGTGTGATATGATGTATGGTATGATGTATGATGTATGATATGTGATGTATGATATGATGGTTGATTTATGATATGATGTATGATATGACGTATGATGTGTGATATGTGATGTTTGTGCAGGGATTGTGCTGGTGGCCATCAACCCGTACGAGCAGCTGCAGATCTACGGAGAGGAGGTCATCAATGCCTACAGCGGTCAGAACATGGGGGACATGGACCCTCATATATTTGCTGTGGCTGAAGAGGCTTACAAGCAGATGGCCAGGTCAGACCTGAACCCGTCAAATGATCATTGTATTGATGATCAGATCATTAATTATTGATCCTCACATGCAGCAGCACAGAGACGATGTGTGTTTCCTGAGATATCTGTGGAGCTGATGGTGTAGGAGGATGATTACAGTGTTCATCTGATGGTTTCATCAACTCTAATTACAGCCTGAACATCATGACTCCTTCAGCTGGAGCACACTGCTTAACTGAGAATGTTACAGAGGAAATACTCCCACTATAAAGACTGCTAATAATCTATAGCATATCTAACAGTGTATACACTCTAGAGCTATGTTCTATATGGAGCTGATTCACTCAATAATCAATAATCAGAAGCTG